GGTCCGTTCGCCGGCGGCCCTGAGACGGAGGGTTCTTCGTGAGGGCGGTGTTGGGCTGGGCAGGCAGAGGCGCCGGCTCTCGAGGACGGAGCTCGAGGAGCGGTGGTGAGCCCCCCTGCCGTGAAGTGACGGAAAGTTCGAGTGCAGCCGCGCCTCTGAGCGACCCCCTCCTCCGGGGGACAGAGGGGTCTGAATGAGGCGGTCCTGTGGGGTGGCGTCTTCACCTGTGGTCGCTTGGTCCTAAGGGGATAAAAAGTGCAATGAAAGGAGAGAGCAAGGTGCTCGCTAACATCAGTTTGTGCTGTCTGGGAACTCGGGTCTTGCTTGATCCAGAGTCATCACTGCAGCCGCGCCTCTGAGCGACCCCCTCCTCCGGGGGACAGAGGGGTCTGAATGAGGCGGTCCTGTGGGGTGGCGTCTTCACCTGTGGTCGCTTGGTCCTAAGGGGATAAAAAGTGCAATGAAAGGAGAGAGCAAGGTGCTCGCTAACATCAGTTTGTGCTGTCTGGGAACTCGGGTCTTGCTTGATCCAGAGTCATCACTGCAGCATTCTTTCTTAATTTAGTATTTTATAAGTCAACAGCAGTGTAAGAGTCTGGTATCATTTCATGAAGTTGTGTGTCATGCTGCTTCGGTGGCTGGTGTGTGTTTGGTTATGGGTACAGCATCAACAGACTCGCTCTAGTTACTCTGTAAAGTTTGAAGAAGAAGAAGGTATTGATACTTTCTGGTGTATTCTACTCAAGTAGAGGCTGTAGGGAACAAAAAAACCATAAGTCTTTATCACCATTTAAAAAAAACAAACCCAATCATCAGCTCCAAACTTGTTTCTCTTAGTCATAGTCTCTTCTCAAATTGGTGACACATTTGTATTATGGGATATAGGATACATATGCTGTAACATTTGGAGAAATTGAAGGTCAGAGAACTGTGTGCTTTAGGTCCATAAATACTATTTAACTGTTCTGAAGCATGAAGATAAAATATAAATCTTTTTCAGAATGTTATACTGACTTCTTCAGAGAAGACTTTGATGTGAAAGCTTACACTTCCCAGTCTATCCATCAGGCTGTGATAGCTGAGCAACTAGCAAAACTTGCCCAAGGTATTAGTCAGTTGGATAAAGAGCTTCATGTACAAGTAAGTTTAAAGCATATCTGTTTTTCTGGGGTGGTTGATATAAACTAGTCAGAAGCTTAGTAATCTTATGATCTTGTTGCTTCTGAAATTGCCCAGTGTACTCTGCAAGCAGGAACTATAGGTACAACTTGCAGCAAAACTAGTGGTGAATCTGATACTTGGTCAAGCTCACTCCTAATACTCCTACCAAGAAGCCATATACTGCTTTGTTTGCAGTGTCTGCAGCCAGACTCTGGATACATGGAGGTTCTACTCTTCTGTGTAAGGATATTCCCTGACTCTTTCCAAATGGTCATGCCAGCTATCAGAAACAATGGCCTGTGTTTTGGGATGACAATTGTGAGAAGATAGGGAGTGATTTAACTTGTACTCTTTCACCCTGTGCTGGAAGCTCTAAGGCTTACCTTTGGCTGGGCAAATATAACCTGTGTTAACACACTTCCACACCTTCAGAAAGGCTTTTGAGTTTGGATAGTAGAAGGTGCTTTGGTAAAATCTATGTGGACACCACAAATCCACAGAAATGTGAATATACATTATTACTGTGAAATTAATGTGCTTCCATTTATAATTAGTATTATTATTATATGTGAAAGTGTATTGAAATGTGGTTGCTCTGCTGGCTTTAATTAAGGTGTCAGCTGCTCTGCAGGTACTGACCCTCTTCTCATTCTGAGCTTACCACTTTTGTGTATTAAAACGTGTTCTGAAACCCTATTTATCTTTTTAAGGTGTGGCTGCTTTTTCCTATGTCTGCCTAATGTAGGGATGATGATACTTTAATGTCTAATGTGGGATTTAATATTCCTTTCAGGAACACCTGCCCATTTTCCTCTCTTGATTTCTCTATTCTGTTCTTTTAAGGTTGTTGCAAGACATGAAGACCTGTTGGCCCAAGCAACTGGAATTGAATCACTGGAAGGTAAATACTGCTATATTATGCTTGCTACTTCTTACAGTGGAGGAAGCACTTTTATTATCTGTGCAGGGAATGTCATTCACTGCCGACTTTGCCCCCTAATGTTAAGGCTACAGATCTTACTTCTGAGAAATAACATGTAGCAGCTTTTTTTGATGTCAGCAGATGGAGCTCCAGGGAGAAGATTTGGCTGATACTTCTCTGGAGTAACTACTTCACAGGAAAACGAATTTTGATAATCAGTTCTGAACAACTTTAGCAATCATGTCTTTTTGACCTTTTAATATATTTTTCTAAATAAACCTAACTTTATTGCAATGTTAGCTGGTATCTGTTGCTGTAAGTACTAAGTTTGTGCATGTTGCGTGTGCATGTGTTACATGGTTTGCAACTCTTAACCAGAGAGGCTTTAACACATAATCTTAACTGCATGTGATATCTTTTTCCTTGTTAAGGGGCTTCTAAGTTAAATACACACCTTTGTGTTATTCCACTGTTTGAGATCTAGATTTTAACATAAACTGCTGGCATTCAAAGTCCTTACTTAGGAACCATTGAAACTGTATAGAAAAGCGGTTGGAGTATATTGATCTTGTGCCAAGAGCTCATTAGATCTGCTGTTCTGCTCTTTGGCACTTGCTGGGAGCTTGTATAGGTTTTTTTGTTTGGTTGTTTTGGGGTTTTGTTGTTTGGTTGGTTGGGGGTTTTTTTTGTGGTTTTTTTTTTTGGAAGAGGGGCGAAGTTTGTTTTTTCAGAGAGATGTTTACTTCTATAACATACTAACTTGCATATACTATGGAATTCAAACATATTCTCTCTTCCCCTTCCATTTTGTAACTTGCTGAGTAATTTATCTTTGTTCTACCTGCTTCCTGGTTTTGGCATAACGGGAGAGTTTCTGGTTATTGACAGTTATACTATATCCTTAGACTTTGGAACTTGTTGGATATAGTATTCAATTGTTAGCATATGGATTTAGCTATAAAGATAAAGAAGTGCCTATTTAATCTAGCAGTGGTAGCTCCCAAATGGCTTTTTAAACAGTTGGAAAATTAAGCATAGGAAAACTGGAATCTGTGTTCATCCTCCAAATAAATTGTAGGTAGGAATCTGTAGTCAATCTTTTGACTGATAAATACCTTCCAGTCATGATCTTCAGCAATTTTTGCCCAGTGTAATTGTGTTTTTTGAAGTCATGATGATTTCTGAGGGCATTCCTTCATATAATTGCTCTGAGGAAGGAATGAAGTACTTCAAAGCAACCATTCAGTTATAAAACATTTCTATAAGAGAAGAGTGGTAAATAATGTGTGTTTTACATTTAATAACACAAAGTAAAAATGAAATCTAATTCACCTCAATTTTATTGAAATTTCTCCATTTACTTAGAGTTATGCTCTTTAAGAGGCCTTTTCAGTGTGTGAGAGGAGGAGAGACATGCAGAGGTTCTAATTCAGAAAAGTTTGATACTTGAGACATCAGTAGAAACTTCAGTCTACAGTTGCCAGGAAAATCAAAAGTCTGTGCACACAAAGATGATGTTTTAAGTTTTGAAAAACTTACCTTTGCCCTGCTCGTGCCACATGTGATACATGGTTACTGTTGTAGAAACACTGGGTCAAGATTTGTAAGAAAAAGATGGATGTCAATAGAAAATTTAATTATGAAGCTAGCAACTCATAGCTCTTGGTATGTTTCTCAAGAAAGTTAGCAAGTGAAGATTATGGAACTAATTCACAATCTAATGCACAGTTGTTTGGATGTGTGAATTTCATTAAATGTTTCAAATTGATATACTCAGTTTGTTGAGTCCGTCCTTTTTTACGTCTGTGTACTTTTTTTAATGGTACACTCATCTGGTATACATACTTGTTTCTGTCTGTAGGTACCTTAATAGGTATCTCGAGCTACCTGTTAGCTCAAGATAGGCTATATAGTATCACCTCATATCTTATGCAGCAGATGGAGAGGGTAGATTGCCTTTTCACCCATCCTAATTCTGCCTTCTGGCACAAGGACTGCTGCATGCATTATATCAATGTCACAGTCATAGATGCAGCAGTGTTGTGCTACTGGCCCTCCCCCATTATTGCAATGTGGTGTAGAAAATTCAGCCAATTTTGCCAACTTTCACTGTATCTCTTATGTTCATCCTCTGCTGTGTGAGAATGGCATGCCTACCTTCCATGTATAAATTTCAGAGAACTCTTGAATCTGTCACTAAGCCAAGTTAATAGTTCTGAAATATGGGGAAGATGGGAATTCGGCATATTTATACAAAATATGTGAGATACAGTCTCAGTACAGGACAAACTGAATAAAACTATTAGCAGTAGTTATCTTTATCTTCCATCTTACTGTATCATATTGCAGTTTTATCCAATTTAATGATGACATGCTTGTAAACAGGGCTTTACAAAAAATGTAATATGTTTGAGAATGCTAACAATAACTGGAACAAAAATAATTTCATAGGCCTGGGTTTGCGTAACTTAATGAAATTCTCAGCAGGCTGATTCCATATTGCAAAAATGACTCCTACCCTTGACTACTTTGTTTGCAGTTTAAGAAGAAATGAACAAGCATGTTTGTGGGCTTTCTTTGTGCTGCTTTGCCAAACTAATCTGGAACAAACATGATTAGGGTAGTTTGCTCTGTTTGTAATCTAAATTAGGTGGCCTCAGAATGACATCGATACCTTACTTTTTGCTAAAGATGTGTATGCACAGAAAGAAAACCCTGAAATAGAATTGGGTGTCTTTTCAGTCCCCTTTGTCTGTTTGTTTCTCTGAACTGTCTAGTCACTGTTAAATAAATAGTTAAATAGGCTGTGCCATTTTTGTATATCATGTTCAGGTGTTTCTACCAGGTTATATGTCTTTAAACAGCAGTCTTGATTGTCATTCTCTTAGACAGCAACGTGCTCTAAACGTTATTTGAAACTTAACATATAATGAATTTCAGAATGATATTTTTTGTGTAGGTGTGTGTTCTCTACCAATGAATTTTCCGTAATGTTCAGTAAATGACCCATTACTTCCTCATTTTATTTCAAAATATGCTGTGTGTTATTAATTTCAATATGTTTGAATACTTTGTTGTAAAGTGTGAACTGTTGGGTTTTTTTTTAAATGCTAGAGTGTCTGCAGTGATTACTATGATTTGAAGAATAGTTTTTTCTACAGTTGACAACTGTTCCACGTAAAAAAATCTGCTTTATTTTGCAGGTGTCCTCCAAATGATGCAGACTAGAATTGGTGCTTTACAAAGTACTGTTGATAGGTATGTGATTCATTATATTATTAGAAAGAATAATTTCTTAGTTGTTCTACCATGTTATTTATTAATACTGCTATCAATAAATTTCTTTTTTTTTGTTTTTTAGAATTAGAGTTAAAATTGTTGACCCCTACAACAAGATAGTGTCTCGCACAGCTCAGCTAGCAAAACTTCAAGTAAGTTGTATTAAAAATTTATTTTAAAAAAATCTTTTTGAACATGTATTGTTTCCCAGTTGTCGGACATGGGTGGAATTTTCATACTCCAGTAGCCTGTAGTTTGTTGTCAGTATTCCTCAATGAAAATTAGTATTTTTGTGTCTCTTCATGAGCTACTGAGAAGTCCTTCATGGTGCAAGGTAGGAGACTGCCCTTTGCTCTAGCTAAGAGAGTTTTTTTTAGAGGTGGAAGGAAGAGGGAAGGGTTATCTGAGTACAAATTAATTCAATTCTCATTACTGTTTGTGTACTTTTGGTGTTTAATGTTATGGTGCCATTGTGTAGAACACGTTTTTCTTCTCTTAAGTTTATGCATGCTTGACTGAAGCTTAGTGAAGAGCTTGGGAATGAATTATTTCAAAATGATCAAGATGTAACTTACGGAGCCAGTTGTGGTTCTGGAGTTTTGTAAGTCCAGGTACATTGTTGTCCCTGTCCTTTGAATATAAGTGGAGTCTACAGCGGAACGTAGATCTCTGTTAGAGGATAGCAGTGGGAGAGAGCTTATCACAACGTTGGTGAGAAAAGTGTCAAACACTTCCATTGTTAACTTTGTAATAGTTGAAAACTATTCCATAGATCTTCAGTCATGTAGCTGCATTCTATTCAGGTTACGGTTTGAAAATCAACACAACTCCAAATCCACAAGTGTTTAATGAGTTACTCTTTGAACTATGTGTCTTCACAAGTTTACCATAGCTTTGCAGAACTAGGAGCTTCTTTATTATTAGCTGAAATTTGTGCTGTGGGTATACATTCAAGTATGTTACCATCTGTAGATGACTGTTGTTGTACAGCAGAGTAGTTGAAGCTGCAAACTGTTGTGCAGTTTCTGGTTTGGGGGCTGCTGAAGCAGCTGCACTGGTCTCTCAGCTGAACTGCTATTTTCTGTGTTACTTTCAGTAGCAGGCGGCTCTTAACATTGTTCAGCTGGTTTGTCCAGCTGCTTTTCTTCTTTTCATCTCCAGCTGTTACTGTTTATGCCACTGGGCAAAACTACTGTGCCTTCCATGTGGCAGGTTAGGTGCAGATTCTTTTTTCTTCTCTGATGTATGTTGCAGCTGTGGAACAGGTTGTGGGAATTTGGGGCATTTCTGCCCTGGTCTTAGACAAAGTCAAGCTGCAGAAGAATGTCTGAGAAGAACAAGTCCCTGAACTTAGGAAATGTTTCTTGGGTGCTCTTTGCTGTAGCAGGGTTATGTGGATTTTCCTGTGGTGTGAGGGCAGCATGCATCCAGGGTCAGCATTACTCAGTCTGGGCCAGGGAATTTGTAGTATCTGGTGTTTCTTGGCTGTAAGTCAGAAAAAAGAGCAAGGTAAGGGGAGCCTGCTAGGGTATCCTTCCTAGCATCTAACACAACTTACTTACTGTTCCATTAAGACTATGAGTCTGATACCTGGCTGGGGGGCAGGGGAAGCCCTCTCATTGAGTCATGAGGTTCAGAAAGGACCCCCTTGCTTTCTAAACACCTTCTCAGAGAGGGGCCTAAGTGCATCTGGATCCAGTCTTAGTCCCAGACTTGGTCAGTGGTTTATATCTAGTAGGGATTATGTGAGTAGCCACTTAACAGAGTCAACATTTGCCTGTCAGAGTCTTCTTGAGGACCTTAACTGAAGCAGTTTTTTAAAATTGCAAAAGTCAGATGATTTATTAAGGCAACAGATATAATAGATTTGGAATTGCCTGTGGTAAGTGCATTGTCTTACACAAACATAAATGTCATCCCAAAATTTAAATGTATTTCTCTGTAACATTAACTACCATTAATCATGCATATACTATAATAAGCAAACATAGATTGATACTTAGCGCCATAGTTAATTATTGCAGTTCTCACCAAGAAGGCATCCTTTCCTGGGGAGGAGAGAGGTCTACACCCATCAAGCCATCCAGTCGTTTGTGCTCTTGCCCTCCAAAATACAGGATTCTAAATACCAGATTTATACTCTTGGCAAAGTGGGACTTAAGTAAATTATTGTGTGTTGGTTGGCCCTTAACAAGGCTTGTTATGTGTTTGATCAAGAGGTGGGGGGGGGAAGAACAAAGGAGGCAATTAAAAGTGGTCTGCGTAGCTTCACCAAAGTAACATCAGACTGTGAGGCCTTCCCCTCACCCCGGGTGTCACTTGGTTGATTCAGGGCCAGACTGCTAGGACCCCTCTGATCAGGTCTGGTGCTTATTGGCACAAGTTAAACACAGCCCTCAGCCTCTGTTATTGTGCATCCAGCACCCAAAGCCTTGTCCTTCATATTCCACACTTACCTCCATGTAAAAAGAGAAATGATGATCCCAGCTTCTCTGCCAGTGGGAGTCCATCATCAGCACAAGAGCTGCTGTCCTGTCTTGTGTTGACAGACACATAGCGAGTGCTTCGTGTTGCACTGCACTGCTGGGAGAAGCTGAGGGTCAGGACACCTGAACTGTGAAATGAGTCTGGACTTATGGAGAGTTGAGTCAACAGGTCTTTGATATCTCCACGCTGCTGCCTCCACAGGATACACTGCTGTGGTGTCTCTCTACCTGGCTGCCTTGTGTGTTCAGGAAGGATGGTCAATGGCGCAGCAAACAATTCACCTCCTGGCGGTGGCAGGGCTTATGACGTGAAATTGCTCCCAAATGCAAAACCTGTGGCATGGGACACTTTCAAACTTGCTGATTTTTGTCAGTTGATGTACAGTTGGTAGGGTAAATAAAAAAAGGTAGATGACTCATAGAAGAGATTGCTCTCTGTCAAAATCTGTAGGGTTGGCACATATGTTTTGCTGAACTGTGTGGTGTTTAAGGGCCTCTTGTAGTCATGGTATAATTTTAGTGCTTCTCCACTGATTGCTGTGGGACTGCTCACAAACTGAAGGAATATTTAGCTGAATTTTGCCATCCTTAATTGTTTTTAATATAGTCTAGGTTTTTCATAAACATTCTCACTGCAAATTCATTGTCAAGCTTCAAATTTAATCCTGAATTCTAAATCTCTGCTCTGTGCTTGTGTATATTGTGTCTTGCTCTGCTCCTAGAGCTTCATGGCATCCCAAGGGAGCAGCAGACTCACAAAACTTACTTCCTACTTTAAATTATGCTGTCCTCTTCTGAGTCTTTCCATAGTAGATCACAAGCTAAATGGGAGTAGTTAACAGCTGAAGTAAGTAGACAGAGTTTCTCTTTCAGAGGGTTATTTTCTATGCAGCTTTGTTTCTATATGCTTTCTTAATTTCAGGTATCTCAGTGTTTAAAAATCCTTGTAAGAGCCAAATTTTTAAGACTTTAAAAAAAATAATTCTGTATCTTAAAGTTATTTTTCTCTTCAAAATATTCACCAGTAGCAGATTTCATCCAGGTGCTACCGTAACTAAATAGTAAGTGTTGTCTGAAGATAGTGGACTCTCATCTTTCTTCAGGCTTCTGTTATGTATACATTCAATTACATTATGATCTAGCTGATATATGTGGTTATATAGATGAGCTATGCACTGGCACATTTTCAAGCGGCCCACTCTTTATAATTAAGTCTTCTTTCAATAATTTCTTCAATTAACTTGAGATTAAAAGTAAGAGCTATTCGGTTGCTCGAATTGTAGCAATGATGTCTGTTAGTGTTGATGTGTTGCTTTAAATTTCAGGAGGTATCTAACATGTAATCTCCAGAAAAATCGGGTTTTATTTTTAATTTTACTAAAACCACTGAGACTAACTCAGGACACTGGCCTTTTCCAAATTATTTCCTGCTTGAACAGTGGAATTAATTCCTTTCTGGATGAAAGCATGTCCTTTAGAAAAGTATACTGTATCAACTAAGGAGGGAAATGTTTCCTGAGTTAATTCAAACTTGTGTTATGCAGGGGGTCAGGTTAGAGGACCTAACATCTGTGAACAACTCCACTATTAGATAATTGTTTAAATTTCCCTTACATGGTCCTCATGATATTGCATTCTTTTACAGTGACTGGTGGTTTTATTAAGTTGAACAACTCATGTAAATGTAAATACTTGGGTGAAACAGAATCTTTGTCAAGGGCACAATGCAGCAGCTATCACTGCTAAGTTAAGGGTGCATCCTCATCTTCAGTGTCTTTGGATTTTTCTCCTTGTAATTCTTAGGGCCAGAAGTTAAAACTTTTATTTTTGCTCTTGTATTTAAGTGTAACTTTTCCCATTGCTTATTCAGTTTGTTTGTTGGGATAGGAGATATTGAGCAACAATTCAATGAAAAAAAAAAAGGTCTTTTACCATATAAAGTAAAAGATAGTCAGAAGATAACTGAAGTTGAATTCCTAGCGAAAAACATTAGCCAGAGTTACACAATTGGATTAGAGTGTAATTAAATTCGAAAGCGAAGTAATACTATGCTCTTGTATTGGGTGCACAGTACACTATCTAAAAAGCTACTTTTTATTCATCTTGCAGAAATTTAGTTCTCAGATATGAAAATGATATGTGAATCAGGATTTTTTCTAATTAAAGAAATGAATTAATAAAAATTAATACATTAATCTCTTAAAGTAGGATAAGCCCCAGTTGGTTCTCATTAATGGTAATAGAAATCATGTGGTTAAGTTGTCTTAAAATGCTCAGGAAACTTGTACTTCAGACTGTGATACAGAGCCAAAAGCAGCGAGAGTAATTGTGCTTTCGGTGGTTTGCCTCTGTGGGGCTTTTTCTGATTTTTCCTTTTCGTTCCATCTAGATGTTTAACTTCATTAAACTATTAAATACTTGTCCTTTGATTAGTTTGCGCTGGCAAAGGGAAGAGACTGACAAGTTGTGCAGTCCACTGATTATTGGCTGAAATAACTCGCTTGTGTATGTTTTCATATGTGCACTGTAACACTAGTTTTCAACATTAGCTTGAGTCTAAAAAAGGGGTTCAAAGTCTGTCAGATACCAAATATTTAAATTGTAATTTAAATTAATTTTTGTATCCATAAGGTAAATATTTCAGGAGGCTTTTTCTTCAGTACCAGGGAAAATAGAACAACTATGCCTTCCTCATTCCAAATTTCTCATTGACCTCTCTTGTTAATCTGATTGCAGATTTTGGACTGTACCTGTGACCGTACTGATATCCTCATACTTTTTTACCTTCTCCTGGGTTGCATTTCTGAATTCTAGCTTATATGTTACCCACTCCAGAACATTGCTTTCTCCACAGCGTGTAGCTCCTAGCTCCGCTGACCCAATCCAGCCCTAGAGAAACACTGCACTTGATGTAACTCTTACTGCTTCTGTCTCTATTATTTACTGTGTAGGAGAAAACCTGTTTCGAGATCTCAGCTGAGTGAAGAATTATTAAACCATTGTATTTCATTCAGGTGTCAGCAATGTCTTTTTTCCTAAATTGGTGCTGACCAAGCTATACACAAATGTGTTTCCTGAAAAATTTACAAATGCATCCTCCATCTTAATTTTTAGCCATGAATGCCATGTATTTTAATAAACCTATGAAAGAATGTGAACTAATAGTTGGCCAAATGAAGGCTTTATGAATGTTTTGCTGAAATTGAGTTTTTACATATGTTGCATATGTATACACCATAAGAGTCAATATCTGTAATAACAATAGCCTTTAAGTTTTGTTTTTTTCTGAAGAAAGTGCTGCCATTTTGCTTATTTGATTGGCAAAGCCAACTTCTTTATTTTAGTAGAACTTACAGAGGGAAGGAATATTGAGGAGAGATACACAATGTAAAATTTCTGGTTAGAAATAGATCATCTGTCATAAGGTTCTGAGGTTTTGTTTTGTTGGTTTTTTTTTTAAATAGCAATGACAACTTAATCTCAGTAGCCCTGTGAATGTAGTTACCAGCCTTTGAAAATATTGGTCTATATGGCATAAAATCATGTTAAAAAATCCTTTAAAAAAGTAATATCAGTGCTGTAAGGTTCCTTGGTTTTATTCACATTCATAGTTCCTTTTTTGGTTAAAATATTTCCATGTTTGAGGTCTAATATTATGTGATCATAATGTACTGATAATATGCCCTAATGCTACGATTTCTCTGCAGGCTGCTTGTGACTTGCTGCGGAGGATAATACGCATCTTGTATCTCAGTAAGAGACTTCAAGGACAATTGCAAGGAGGAAGCAGAGAGATAACAAAAGCTGCCCAGAGTCTCAATGAACTTGGTGAGTCCTTCTTAGTTACTTTTAGAGGCATTTTTAGCTTGCGCTCATATGACTCACACTAGTGTTTGACTTAAACAAAGAAACCCCCAGAAGGTTTCTTGCTGTCTACTTCCTGATTTGAATTGAGAAACAGTATGGACTTCAATTAGTACTTCAGTTTTTTTCGTATTACTTCTCTAGATAATGGTACTTAATAACACGAAAATTCTATGATAATAACTTGTGTTCTTTTGAGCAACAATTTTTTTGTGAAGCAATTATTTTCTTATTGGCTTGTGTTTGTATAACACACCTTCAGAGGCAGCAGGTCTGTACTTAGCTTTTAGAAGACATTGCACTACAATAAGGCATAGTTTGAATTATGGTTTATGTCCTAAAAAAAAGTTCTTGGCCCTGTGACTTTTATGAAAGTCGTGCGTGATACGATACACAGATACTTAACCTAATTCAGATACTGGAAGCATTCTGCTGCAGTAGTGACTAGTTTGCCCTGTGTTTTATTGGCTTCTAGGAAGAATGATGAAATAGTTCTCATGAATCACAGAATGGTAGGGGTTGGAAGGGATAGGATAGGGGGGTAGGAAGGTAGGAAGGTTGGAAGGGGTAGGATATCATCTAGTCCAACCTGCTGCCAAAGCAGGTTCACCTGCAGCAGGTTGCACAGGATAGCATCCAGTCGGGTTTTGAATATCTCCAGAGTAGGAGACATGCTACATTGCTAAATTGTTTTCTGTACTTGAGCTGGCTAAGGTACTTCACGCTGTGCTGCAGGATGCAGTGAGAAGCATCCTATTGGTCTTGGAGATCAGTCATTGGTATTGTATATAGTGTCTTGCCAGCTGTTTCTGCTTTGGTTTAATGATATTCAAATTTCAGCATCCAAAAATAGGTTGTGGGAGGGTTGAACTATCAAACATGCAGAATCATCCTGAGGTTTATTGTGCATATTTGTCAGCACTGCTCTTTTTATACTGTGTAATCAAAAAATTATTAGACAATGATTTAGTCTTATAATTAGCAGATGCTGTGTTGCAAATGGAAAGTTTATATATTTATTTAGTATATCAGTTTGACTGAAGCACTTAAGCATCAATTGTAGCATTCTAAACTAGAAATTTTTTTTAATTTGCTATTTTTTTAGTTTTTAATTTTTTCTCCGGTTTGGTCTCTCCTCGCATATTCAGGATATATAAAGTAATACTAGCTTTTAACTATTTGAATTACAGGTCTTGTGGGATTATCTGAATGCTAGATCATATTCAAATAATTAGTACGATTTAATGGTAAAATCTGAGATGTTTATCTTGTGTAGTTTTTAGGATTTCTTTCTCTTAAAGAGAACACCTTTTGTTACTCTCTTTCCACTCCTTTTTTCTTTCACCATTTAAAAAAACAGCTTCCACTTTGCTTTGTTAAAGTGTTACAGTTTATTGAGTTTCTTGTTTTCAACTACTTAGTCTTTTCCTGAAGCTTAGAAAAGTCTGAGTAATTATAACTGTTAAAGGTGATGGGAAACCTGTCCCCTCAGGAAGCCCTTTATGTTTCATCCTACAGTCCATAGAGAGGGAGCCAAGGCTCATGGTCCTTAATTTAATCCTTAATTAATCCTTAATTCTGGATGCTTTATGGCCAGGGAAAATCACTAAACTTTCTTCTTCAGCTCCTCCACCTCCTAACACACTTTGGGTTCTCTAGCGAAGCAGAAACAGAGCTGTGATAGTTCATTGAATAAGCTATTAGCTGCTTCTCTAGTGATGGTTCTTCACATCCTGTAATCCAATTCAGTGTATGGATAGGTAAAACAAGTGTCATATTCAGATGTCACGCTGTGCCTAATGCAGTGAATTACATGCCTTGACTATGCTTCTTGGTGATATTTTAATACAAAAATTTTATAAAGTGAAATAAAACATTCCCAAGCAACTTTAAACAATATAATGTAACAAGAAAATGGTACACTATATAAAGTTCTCTTTCACAGAAGAGATTCTGCTGGTATTAAAAAATCTACTGTCTTCTATGTAGCTCTGTGGCTATGTATTGCTGTCTGTAACAGTGGCCAGTAACTGGTCAGATGAAGATGAAAAAGTTCTTAGTTGTGCAGCAAATGGCTAGCTTGACTGTGGTTGTTAATTCCATCTGCTGGCACAGCAAAGGTTTTATATCTTTTGCTTTTTAAATACCTATAATGGTGTAATTATTATTCATATAAATGCCTAGACTTCTTAATCTCCTAGTCTTTATATATGGTTGTATTGTGATTTATTTCACAGCAAGTGAATTTATTTGCTTGAATGACCTTGTGGGCATATAATGCTTGTAGGCTGCTCTTGCAGCAGCCATAATTTTGCTCTTTTGTAAACTCAGAGTTAGTCTGTGACTAAGGTGTGCAGCATAAAATGAAGGGAAAGGGGTCTATTTAAATACAGTTTGGGGTGTCTTCAATATAGCAGTTGCTTCAGGACAATACTGCCTTCTGTGTAGCTTATGAGAAAAGAAGATATGGGAAGATAGGACTATGACCTTACTTTAAAGCTAAATAATTCTAGAGAAAAGGCAAAATATTGTTAATTACAGAAGTCTAGCTAAAATGGAGAAAACCATGCATATGTCTTGTGTTATTTATAAAGTGGGAGCAAACGTGGCAGTTATTTAGGCTTAACATCACAATAGAAGACTTAAGGGAAATTCAAAGAAATAAAACTCAGTTTTGATGAAACTTTCAAGAAGTGTAGCTTGGATGGAGAAAACTGAAATTAATTAGGATATATGTGATACTGATTGAAATATAATTTGAAAGAAGTTGTTTGGCTATGCCTGTAAAGCTTCTCTGTGGCTGTCATAATGTAAGTGGTGGTAGCTCTGTCTCCAGAACTGCTGACATCTGCACAATGGTGACAATGATCTTAGACCTGAAAAATTCTCTTGTGGAGGCTAGAAAAAACTGGACTTAGCACCTTTCTAGGGTAAGCAAGATGGGTCATGATATCATTTAAACAAGAAAAAGCCTGGATATAGCTGCTGTGTCTCTTATAATAAAAATTACAGGAAGTGGGAGGAGGAAAATGACCTCTTGTCTGTCTGCCTGCCTGCCTTTATGGGGATTGCACTGGTGGGACCTTGTCTCGTCCAGTATTGAGATTTCTCTGTTTCAGTGTGCTTTTCTAGTGTTCCTACTACAGGTAGTACCCTGGAGCTTCCACCAAAAGGGACCACCATTGTAAAGACAGCGATGTTCTCTATACATGTACTATGTTGTACAGTAGAACAGTACAGTACAGTAGTACAACATGCTGATTGATGGAGAGAATTAAATTTCTTTATGAAATTTTTTTTTACCTTTTGTTCTTGTAGTTATGTGCTGTAGTAATGTCACATAGCCTCTGTTTCCCCCATCTTAGAAAATGCTTAATACATTCAGTAGAGCAAAATCTTTCCAAATATTTTAAACCTAAGAAGTCTATTTTTTTTTCTTCTTTTTATCTGTTGATGGACCTATTCCATATTAAGGAGAGTGTATTCCTTTGTGTGCATGTGTGTGTATATAGATATTTATAAATACAAATATTAGGATGAATATACGTTGTTTATATATCTCAACTGCTTTTCAGTGTAATCTCATTGTTCTTAGTGGTTATCTTTGGGAACTCCTGGGGGGAGACATGAGGCTCCAGAAGACAGGAGAGCTTGCTTTATTGAAAATAGAGCTCACTGGCTCCTCTTTTATTTAGAGAACTCAAACTAACTTGACTTCTTTAAGCAAAGAAACTCTAGAACAAATTAGCTATTTGTAGCAGCCTAGAATATAAAAGTGGAATTAAATAGCAGGCCACATAGATTTATCAAGAATGAATTGAATTTAACCAACCAGATTTTCTTTGTTGGCAGCATAACAGGTTTTAGGACTAGAGAGATCAAACTTGTAGTTTGATTTAAATAGGGCTCTTGACACTAGGTCACACTAGCGGGATCAGCAGCATGATCCAAATGGAAATGTTGTGCAATGAATGAAGAAGTTTTGAGAAAACTGTACCCCAAAACTCATCATCAGTTGTTCACTGCTGCCCAGCAATATATCAAGTGTGGTTTTGTTGAAATGTGTTCTGCAGCTGGCTAGTGTTTTCATTAATGATTTGGGTGATGTAGTATGGTATATCCTTATTAAATTTACAAGTAATAACCAAGCAGAGAAAAATGGAAAGCATGTTGGGAAACAGGATTAGAATGAAGAATATTCTTAGCAAATTGGAGATATGTCTTAGCTGAACTGATTTCATTTCTCTTCTAGACAGGTGCAAAGTCCTAACAATAAATAGTTGTAGTTAACAGCAAGAACAGGAGAAATGACTGGATAACAGTTCTGCAGAGAGGCTTGACAGTGCCTCATGAATTGAGTGCAAGCCACTTGTTCATTTGTTTTGTAGCAGCGTGACATTGGCAATGAAATTTGTACTGATCTTTATAAGGAAGGGTGTTGTGTGCAAGTCACTTGAAACAAATCTGTTTGTTGCTCAGCTGGAGTATCAAGTCCCTTTTAAGGCACCAAATTCAAGGAAGATGTAGGTTAATTGGAAGAAGTCCTAAGTACAGCGGTAGGGTTGAAGGTCTCAAGAATGGGCAGTGGGCAGAGGAACTGAAAGTGTGTGGCTCTTTGGTTTGGAGAAGAGGGGTCTGAGAGGCAGAGTAACATTCTTCAGATAAATAGAAGTTATTCAGCTGGGAAGGGAGTAGATGGCTCTCCGTATCCACTGTGATCGAAACAGTAAGTAATGGGCCTGAAATGAAGCAGAGAAAATTTTAATCTAAAATGTTAGGAAAGGTTTCTGCCGGTAATGGTAATTTCAGGAGAGCTCTGAAGTCAATATTTGAAGCTTTTTTAAAAGCGGGTTAGACAGAGCATGTATCTGGAATAGTTTAGATACAGGTGATTTTTGCCTTGACGCAGGACTGAATAAAGTGACCTGCTACCAGTCCTTTGTTTCTCTCAGAGGTGCTTGCCCCCCTACTCTCCCCCAGCTCTGTTAATAGAAGATGTATTATAGGGACATTTTGTTTTTTGTTGTTTTGGTGTTTGGTTTGGTTTTTTAATTGGACTGCTTGATGTAAATTTTGCTTCCCACAACTTGGTTTGTTGGGCACTGTGCCCAAATACCTCCTAAGATATATTAGGACAGTGTGACCGGAAAATTCATGCCATCACTTTAGTTCAGCCTCTTCTTATTACTCTTTCAGATGAAATGGTAGATAAATCTCCTCAAAGACCTTCAGCTCACCCATCTGACACAGTTACTTCTCTTCTGGTTACTCACTATGTGACTGACGTTCAAGTTAACTTCACACAGCTCATCATGTTACTGGAGTGCTGCTAAAATTGACCCTCAAAAACAGTTATGTCAATATTCTCTAGGAGAATGCAGTGAGCAAGAGAAGAAAGGTGGTACTGACTATGTGAATGTAAATGTTGCGTATCTTTTTCTTTTCCTTTAGCAGGAAAGAAGGCAAGCTATCCATTTATTAGAGATAAAGCTGTTTTTAAGAAATAAGTTATTTTGCTTCAGTAAGTTTTTAATATTTGAGAATTATGATGACTATTGTTTTGTGTTTTTCAAAATACTAAGCACTACTAGTCAGTGTTCAGGAAACAACTGTTCTAATTTTTTGAAAACTGAAATAACTCAATTTAGGAGTAAGTGTTCATGTTTGTTTTATACCACTTATCTCATCCATACCTATTGCAAGTTGGAATTACCTGGACCTGTTGTTTTCACAGTGTGCCTTATTTATTGAGTGTTAAAACGGTGTAAATAATCTGACTAAAAAAAAGACTTATTCTGAAATGATTGTGGCTGACTGTCACCTCTGTCCTTCATCTTGTTGTATAAAAACTATTTCATTTCAACTGCTGCAGTTTTTGAAGTAACATTATATATGTGTTTTGTATATATACACAAGTATGACTAAGGTTGCAATGGTAAGCTGTCTGAACACTTGCCATGGTTACTACGATAGCTATCTTTCACTGCTGCCTTCTTCACATACCATATTCAGAGATTAGCTTCTTTTTTTAATTCCAAGCAAAGATATAGAGCGTATGATTGCCCAGCCAGATCTAGTGTTGAATCAAGTTGCGATTTATATTGAGTTTGCATGACAAGATTTTGGTAGTGGATGGGCTCCAGGAGTGGCTTTTGTGAGAAGCTGCTAGAAGCTCCCCCCTTTGTCCAACAGAGTCAATGCCAGCTGAGGCCAGGTTGGACCCACCTCTGACTACGGCTGAGCCAGTCAGTGACAGTGGTAGCACCTCTGTGATAACAGATTAAGAAGGGGGGAAAAAAACCCCAAACCTGTGCAAGAGAAATTGCAGCTGGAGAGAGGAGTGAAAACATGTGAGAGAAGCACCTCTGCAGACACCAAGGTCAGTGAAGAAGGAAGGGCAGGAGGTGCTTCAGGTGCCAGAGCAGAGATTCCCCTGGAACCCATGGTGAAGACTGTTGTGACGCAGGCTGTCCCCCTGCAGCCTATGGAGGTTAATGGTAGAGCAGATATCCACCTGCAGCCCATGAAAGACCCCACACTGGAGCAGGTTTGCTGGCAGGACTTGTGATGTGGTGGGGGGTACCCCATGCTGGAGCAGTCTGTTTCTGAAGGACTGCATGCTATGGAAGGGACCCATGCTGGAGCAGTTTGTGAAGGACTCATGTTGCAGAAGTTTGTGGTGGACTGTCTCCCATGGGAGGGACCCCACGTTGGAGCAGGGGAAGAGTGTGAGGAGTCCTCCCCCAGAGGAGGAAGGAGCGACAATGTGTGATGAACTGACCACAACTCCCTTTCCCTGTGCCCTTGTGCTGCTAGGGGGAAGGAGGCAGAGAACTCAGGAGTAAAGTTAAGCCTGGGAAGAAGGGAGGAGTGATAGGAGGCTGTTTGTAAGATATGGTTTTATTTCTTATTATCCTACTCTGATTTTGGTTGATAATGAACTAATTTCCCCAAGTCAAGTCCATTTTGCCCATGATGGTAATTGATGAGTGATCTCTCCCTGTCCTTTTCTTGACGCACAAGCCTTTTGTTATATTTTCTCTCCCCTGTCCAGGTGAGGAGGGAAGTGATAGAACAGCTTTGGTGGGTACCTGGCATCCAGCCAGGGCCAACCCAGAACACAAAGTGAGGAAGGACATGGTTACTATCATGTCAGTGAGGTCACTGCTAGTGTCACTGCCAGTACACGGAGCAGACAGATTTGTTGGCATAAATATTGCTGTGCATATTTTCTTGTAAGAATCAACACACATTGATCTGGAGGGAAAAGTTGCTTTGATGGTACTTTTGCTTAAGGATTTAAGTGCATTATAATTTACTGCCTTGTGCAAGACCTCGTGTCCTCCAAAATAATATAGTGTATGCCTGTGTAGCATAACGCACTGTTCTGTAGGGGTAAGTGAACTGATTTGATTAATAGAAATTACACAGCCGTGCTAGTGTGATGCTCTGCCTGGGGTAATTAGTCCTGCTGAGAATGGCTGAATTGTAGTACTGGCTCAGAGCCATGTGCATTATTTTTGAATGCCACTGCTTTGGGTGGTACATCTGCATCCATAGTAAGTGCAAATGTCTTGCTAAAACATTTTTCTTTTGTCCCTGGTGGTGTTAGCAGTAACACTGTCAGACCTTCACTGAAATTGTTTGGGCTAAAATATACTATGCCTTTCTGTAGTTTACTGTAATCTCCATGTTCTTCAATTTCATGTTGTTCCTTTCAGTTGAGTTGGTTGCTTGGTTTTTTTATTTCATTTTGCTTTGTTTTTTCCTGAGGCTCAGTTACCAAAAGATGGAAGATTTTGGAAAAAGTTGTTGTGCAAAATTTTATTTATGGTATTTCAAGCCAAAAAGGCCTCTCTGGTGGGAAAGTCAAGCAGACATACACATAATGTAAAAGCCTTGATATTAATATTTGTAACTTTAAAACAAAGAATCCTGAACTGTTTCAAAATGGAGAACTCATTTTTCTATAAAAGCTTAATTTTTCCAAAAGCAAACTTTTAAAAAATTAGAAAAAATAATGAGAAGTTCTCCATGAGCAGGAAGCCGATGTTACATGTGAAATAGGTGTTACATATACTGGCTACACTGCTTTTCTTCAGCACCTCTGGTAAAAACTGAAAATGACGGCCTGTTGCTCTAGTTACATTGTGATTAACTGTATATGGTTAATTGTGCATTTAGTCACAAAATAATTGTATAACAATAAATAAATATATATCAGATACTATGTTTCTCATGGATAATGCTGGTCACTCTGTGACCATCAGATATATTGCAAAATAATTTTTCTTTATCTTTAATGTGGCAATGTTAATGGAATCATTCAGCTTTCATTTATACAACAGAGGCAATTGAAGTTGTTTTTTTTAAATACACTGATAAAGAAAAAAGTGTATTTGTAATGCTTCAATTTACTATTTGCAGAAAGATTCTGGTTTTATTAGTTGATCTGGCTTTTCAAGCAAATGAGTCCCATGAAAACTATGGATAGCTAATGCTAACAAAAAACCATCTTGGTTACTAAGAAGATCTTGTTATTTTCTTAGTATTGTTCCTGGCTTCATGTTTGCCAAAGTTGCTACTTGGTTTATTGTGTATTGATGTAAAAGTAAGAGCTGCACAAACTTCTGCTGAATCATGTTATTTCATGAACTATGCTGTACAACCAAATATTTTGTGTAATGATTGTAGAAGCCAGTCCTGATGCTCTTCTGTAGTTGCTATACCACCCACTTACTTCTTTCTCTATTTCAGTTAAGCATACAACAATCTTGTTCTAGGCCATCTTATTTTATTTTATGCCATCTTTACCTTTTATGCAGAGTTAAGGAGCTTTGGAGGATATTAATTTATTTCTTGTTGGCTTTTGAATTAAAGAAAGAAAAATTTTGTTGGTATATAACAAGTTCATTAACTTGATCTGTGCTCTTTAAGATACTGAGTTAATGTGCGTGTAACAAAATGACTTGCAAAACTTAATACAATTTTTCATTAGTAAGAGGCTAATAGTGTGAGACCTCTATCCTCTTACAAGGAGGCAGACAGAACATAGAGATTTTACCATCAAACTGTGTTTTTCTGTGATTAGGATTCCTAGCTTGGAAACCTTGTATTAGACAAAGCATTTTATGTAAATAATTGGTATGCTTTGCTTACTCTCTGGCATACATTCTTTTTCTAACCATTTTCAATAGAAGATGCTAAATAATTACAGGCACACAAGAAAGAAAAGACTAAGTTTGAATTGATACAAGAAAAAAAAACATGTTAGAATTTTGGTTTTCAACATGAACTTTAAATGAGTAGGGCTCGAATTTGCATTTCCTCAACTTTTTAGAATTTTGGTTTTTGTTAACGTAGCTTCATTGTAATTTCATTGCTGTGTCACTGTTTTCCAAAGTCATGACTATCCTGATCTCTTGAAAATTAATGTTCTTTATGCATACAGTTCTCGATAGTTAATCCAGGTATAATTGTATCAGTGAGTTTTCCTGATGCCAAATTTCCTTTAAACAACCATAAACATGTTTCACATTTGCCATATTGAGTGAACTATGAAACTGTTTTTTCATGTTAACATTAAGCTGATTTCTGATCTTGCTGACATTATTCTTTTAGCTATAACTACTCAAAGAATTTGATTTTGCTGTACTATTAAGCACTTGGTAATTTTAGTCTCAAGTATATAGACCTTGTCACAGGGCTATATATCATGTATTCAAAAATGGATTTACTACTCCGCTTTCTATCTTGAGGTGTTAACCTGTTCCTGAGAGGTGCATTATTGATGTCCCATTAGCAAGGCTGTGTCAGAAGTTAATTACAGTGTGTTCAAGTTGCCTTTGCTGTAGCACATAGAGTATTTCTAACAGTATTTAACCTGATTCCAGGCCCATCAAAGACCATTTTCTGTGTTTTTCTTTGTTGCTTCCAGTTACAGATGTACACAGATCTTGTTCCTTACACTTAAGGGAAGCTTTGCTCTTTAAGCCTCTTTGTCATTTGTTACTCTGAATCTGGTTGCTACCATTTCATTATCAATATAAGTTGTTGTTGTTGTTGTTGTTATTGTCATGATCTAATATATATCAGTTTTAGTTGCAGGCCAGTATTATACTGAACTAGGCTTCAGCAGGTACAGAGTAAAACCTGGGGCCTGACAGTTCTTGATTTATTTGCTGCTAACAAAGGACTCCAGAGAGGAAGAAATGTTAGTGTACAAGAACTAAGGGAAGGGAGGGGGATGTGGTGAACTACCAAAAAGTGTTTTCTGGTAGGAGAGGAATTATTGTCAGGACAGCAGAGTAGCTGCAGCAGTCATGCAGCTGAT